ATAAAATTTTGCTGGGTCCCAGGCCATGTAGGTATAAGAGGAAATGAAGAAGCTGATGCAGCTGCAAAGTCAGCTAGTCCTTCACAGCATACAATGTGTATTGAAGGAGGCGATTTGAAGCTAGTCATTAAGAAACGACTAGTGGCAAGATGGCAAAATATGTGGAATGCACAAATCCACAATAAACTACATGAGATCAAACCTATGATAGAAAATTGGACACATAAGAAACCTTACGACAGGAGATCTGAGGTTATTTTTACTCGTCTGAGGATTGGACATACTCGGTTGACTCATCAATACCTTTTGAAGGGTGAAGAGCAACCAGTATGCCAGTATTGCAACTGCTTACTAAGTGTTAAACACATACTGCTCAACTGCTCTGCCTTTGAGATCAGTCGTAGACAGCATTTTGGAAATGCAACTTTCAAAGATATTCTGGGCCAGAGACCAAATCATTATAATGTATTGGACTTTTTAAAAGTCATTAATTTGTATAAAGAAATTTAATTAATCAATTATTTATTTATATATTTATTTCATTTTTGCATGTTGTTTTTCGTTTGTACTTAATATGTGTATATTTATTTTCGTTGTTGTTGTTGTTTATTTATTTATTCATTATGCTTAAAATTTTTTTAACCATTTGCCTTGGCGCAGCATGGCCTATACGGCTCTTGTGCCAAAAAACAAAAACCAACCAACCAACCATCAAGGTGGGTGAGTCTCTTCTTCTGCACCTTTCCAAGGGTAAGGTGGAAGGTGAGCCGAGGTGTAAGGAAGGAGTTGACACAATCTATCTTTTGCCATGGGGCAAGGCGAGAGTTGTCAACTAGCTTGATGTCGGAAAGAATGCTGTCTATTGCACGTTCAGCTGAAAGTTCCAGAGTGAAGCCGGTGGGTATCCCTAAGTGGAGGTATGCATCCTTCTTGCCGAGTCGAGGGATGTTTGAGCCCTGGATGTTAAAGTTAGGGCCTTCGGTGCAGTGATACTTACCGGCAACAGATAAGGTTGTGCATTTTGCAGGGTTGAATGTCAGTTTGCTATGCTGGGCTCAAGATGTGAGCAGGTCTAGTTGTGACTGCAGTCCTTTGGCTGAGCTGCTGACGACGGTGATGTCGTCGGCATAAGCCAAGACGGAGATGGTGTGATCGTGGAGTTGATAGCCTACGTCAAGGGTGGAGAAAAGACGGATCGCCGGTTCAATCACAATATTGAATAGGATGGGGCTCAGGGGCCACCCCTGTTTGACGCCCGCACGTACAGGTATAGAGTTGGTAAGTCCGGTGTTCGAGTGGATACGGGTGCTGCAGTTGTCTAGAAGCACTCTGATGCACTGTATAGATGGTTCGCTGAGTCTGCTCTATTTCAGGCAGGTAAGTATGGATTCATGGGGCACGGAGCCGAAGGCGTTGGCGAGGTCAAGCCATGCCAATGCCTTCGGCTCTCATATGGCACCCATGATTTTTGCGCCTGGCGTCTTGGATGGCTGACTGTAGGTTGAAGTTGTGCTCTGAACAGCCGTTATATCTCTTGAAACCCTTCTGCACTGCAGAGATGATGTCGCTTTTTTCGCACCAGCGCAGGAGGCGGCTGGTGATGCATGCAGAATAGAGTTTCCCCAGTATGTTGGCCAGGGCAATGGGTTTCCAGTTCGCGATGTTGTCCCTGTTGCCCTTTTTATGGAGGAGGATCGTTGTGGATGTTTTCCACGTGGTGGGTGTTGCACCAATCCTTAAGACAGCGTTGAACAGAGCGGAGAGTATGTGCTCCTGAGGATCGAGGCGTCGCCAGACGTAGTATCTGATGCCGTCAGGCTCGGCGGTTGTGTTGCGGCATTTAGCAAATCTTTTGGCAACTTCGGCGGGTGTAAAGGCGCCACAGAGTGGGTCGTTGGATGTGGGCAGTGGGCCTGGTGGTAGAGAGGCTGCAAACGGCTCTTGTGGGATACGACGGCAACTGTTGGTGTTGGTGAAGTGCTCGGTCAGCGTAGCCTTGTTGATGTTGCAGAATCGGCTGGGACCCCGGGTGATTTCCTTGAATGCCTTTCCTTTGTTGGCACAGTAGAGTCTTTGTATTCTACTGGCCTCTGCGGCGTCATAGTTGTTAGGCCGCTGGTTGTTGCCTGAGCGTTGGGGTCTCGGCTGTCGTCGGTGTTGCTGGTGGCTGTTCCGTGTGACGTGCCGTTGTGGTGCCATGCTTTGTGCGAGGTGGGTGAGATTGCTGACCATGACCTCGAGCATGTCAATGTCGAGGGCACAGTCGAAGTGATCTCTCCAAGCGATGACCCACGGGGGAGGAGCCGCCGTTGAGCTGTTGGTGGATGGTTGGTCAGTCTGGCTACCTACCTGTGGTTGGATGTTATCCTCTAGTGTGCTGGGTGGGGGAGGCACCAGGTGGTCCTCTGCAGCAGTGGTATGGTTGAAGGTCTCTAGCTGAGGCGTTGGAGTGGTGGCCTCGGTGGTGGTAGCGTCGAGAGCCGAGGTGTCAGTGGTACACAGTGGGCTATCTGTGGAGATAGGGCTCCAGCGGCGCTGACGTTGGCGGCAGGGACGTCTCACCAGGGGTGGGGAAGAGGTTTTGCTTCCCGGGCTAGACTGTGAAGCTCGAGAGGTTTTGTTGCTGATGTTGGGGGTCGGTGCGGCGGAGTTGTCGGTTGAAGAGACAAGGACAGGGGATCCATGAGCGGTGCTGGCCGAAGGGACCGGTGAGCTCGACTGGTTGTTGCAGGAGCTGGCGTCGGTCTGGGCGTTGCAGGCTGTCCTTAGAGAGGCTAGATAGGCTTCGTCAAGGCCACAGCTTTGGTTTCGTTGCCTTGGTTTATTTGGGCCTGTATGGATCTTGGGGCAGGCTTTCGGGTCTTTGCTGCAGCAGTGATGGCAGTTGCGCGGAGCAGGTGGTAGACTTGGCCTGGTGAAGTTTTACCTCTTTCAGTTTATCCGAGCATGTATGGCACACGCAGCACTCGAAATTGAGGTGCCCGCCGTGATCCACGTAGTCGCGGTACACGGGTAGGCAGGCAGGCAGGGCAGTGGTATGGCGGGCGTAGTGGAACGAGTAGAGTCACCTATTTAGGCTCACGGTTGGTCACCATTGATCAAATGTGTAGATTGATAGGTGAAGGTGAAGCGCTCCCTGGGGTGCACAGCAGCCAACTAAGGCGGGGCGGGGAAGAAATAGCAGCTAGTGTGGAAGCAAGCTCCCACACTAGCGCGTAGGGGATAGTGCGCTGTTGGGCTTGGAGGCTTGAGGCGCAGAGAGGAAAGTGTTGCCGGTCAAGCAGCGAATACACGGTGCGTTTAAACAGTGCATGCCGCTCTTCCGGCGGAAGAGAGAAGAGTAGAGGAAAGAGAAGTAAAGCAAAAACACTTACCCAAACGCTGGGGAGCAGGAGCAGGAGCAGGCTCGAAGTCCAGGTCATCGGCGGTGGTTAGCTAATCCATGGGGAACATCAAGCTGATAAGAACAGAGTTAAAGCCATTTATTGATGATATTAAAATATGTACAATCAGTAGAATGTAGAGATAATCTGTAAACATGGGCACAAAGCCAGCCAGTGAGATACATAAGGTTTGGTTTAGAGAATATACAATGGTGGGACATAGGTCCCATATCGCGTTCCATGGGCACTAGCCTGCCGAAATAGATACAAGTGTCGCGATTACAAGGGCACTAGCCAGCTTGAAAGTACAGGAGACGTGAATTTACAGTAGTGAGATAGTCCTTAGCGTTGGGAGCGGTTGCCAAGATGTCGCATGTAGATTTCCCTGCTATGGTTTATGCAGTCAGTCACCATGAGATGACGCATCATTCTGGCGTATTTCCTGGATATGCCAAGGCGCTGGATGATGCTTTCGTTTGCGGCGTCATAGCCGCCGAGGGCTCCTATAATGAAAGCGTCTATGAAAGTATCATACCCAAGATTGCGGTAGTGGGCGGCGAGGTCTTCATATTTACGAGTCTTCTCCCGGGCACGGATGAAGGCGTCTTCGCCGTTCTCGAAAGGCGTGGCGACGTCAATTATGGTGGCGGTTTTGGGGTTATTGTTGAGCACTACTAGGTCGGGTCGGCAGTTGGTGGTGAAGCCAGGTATCTGTTGGTTGCAGAAAATTCGGAGGTTTTTATGGTCGAAAGCGTTGAGTAGACGGTTGAGGATGGCATTGTGCCTTTTAGTAATCTGTACGAGGTTGGGGGGCAGTGGTTAATGACGTGCGCCAACGTCTCCCGATGGCGTTGACAGCGGCGGCAGTTTTGGCTAGCGTTTCCAAAGCGGCGGAGGCCGCGGAGGGGGACATTGCTAAGCCTGGCCCGGTGGATGAATCGCCAGTCTGCGAATTTGATGAAGTTGCCCTCACGGAGAAAATGGTTGCTGTTGGGATTACTTGCGGTGAGTCAAAAAGCCTTACCCTGATCGGGCTTTCGGAGAAGGGCTGTCAGGAAGGTGGTCTTGACTGCAGTGGCGATGGTACCAGCGGCGTTGGCTTTGGTGAGAGGCTTTGCCGTTGACGGCGGGGGTTAAGGTGCCATCTTCGTTGGGATGTCAACAGAGATCTATCTGGGATCTGAGACGACGTGTGGCGATCTGAAGCCGAGTCCAGAGGGAGGGGATGTCATATGAGTCACATCTGAACTCATTCTCCATGGACCCGGCTAGGTCACATCCGAAACCATGGTGGAACCAGAATTGTGAGGCAGCATTTAAAGCACAAAAGAAAGCATGGGGGATTTTTAGAAGATACCCCACTGCTGAAAATTTGGTTGCTTTTCAAAAAGCAAAGGCAAATGCCAGAAGAATAAGGAGGCAAAGCCAAAGGGATTCTTGGAGGAAGTATGTTTCAAGCATAACATCTTCCACTAGCTCAAAAGCAGTCTGGGATAAAATCCATAAAATTAATGGGAAATATGCTTCTCACTCTCTGTCCATGCTGGAAAATAATGGCACAATAATCAGCGATATACAGGGTATTGCTGATTTATTGGGTGAAACATTTTCTGCTTCATCCAGCAATATCACGTATTCAAGGAATTTTCAAGCTTATAAAGCCCAAAGAGAAAAACAGTGTTTAAACTTTTACTCCTTATCTAATGAGGAATATAATGTGCCATTCACTAGAATTGAATTACATACAGCAATCTCTCGCTCGGGGAATAGTGCTGTAGGCCCGGATAAAATCCACTACAGCATGATTAAAAATCTGTCAAACAATTCCCTTTCTAATCTCTTGCATCTGTTTAACAGAATATGGACAGAACATACTTTTCCTGACTCTTGGAGGCTATCTATCATTATTCCCATTCCCAAACCTGGTAAAGATCACAAGAATCCCTCTAATTACAGACCAATTTCTCTGACAAGTTGTCTCTGTAAACTTTTCGAGAGAATGGTAAACAGGCGTCTAATGTATCTCTTAGAGAAAAAGGAATACTTTTCACCACATCAGAGTGGTTTTCGTAGGAACAGAAGTACCACTGATAACCTGGTAAACCTTGAAACATCTATACGCGAAGCGTTTGTTCGAAGACAGCACTTAGTGTCTGTGTTTTTTGACATAGAGAAGGCCTATGATCGCTGTTGGCGATACGGGATACTTCGTGATCTACACCAATTCGGATTGCGGGGTAATTTGCCAATTTTTATAAAAAACTTTTTACAGAATCGAAGATTCCAAGTTAGGATGGGCAACGCTTTATCTAGGCTCTTCACACAAGAAGAAGGTGTTCCTCAAGGTTCTATTTTGAGTGTGACTCTGTTCCTAATTAAAATTAACAGCATAGCTAACTGTCTCCCTCCCAGTGTGAAACACTCTTTGTATGTAGATGACTTTCAGATCTCCTGTCAGTCTAGTAATATGAGTTTCATTGAGAGACAACTTCAAACTTCCCTAAATCGCATATATGATTGGTCCAAGACCAATGGGTTTACGTTTAATGCAGCGAAGACATCGTGCATCCACTTCTGCCGAAGGCGTGGTTTGCACCCGGATCCTGAAATTCACCTAAATGGCGATAAAATTCCAATGGTGAATGAGGCTAAGTTTTTGGGTGTTTATTTCGACCCAAAACTGACATTTTTGCCACACTTGCGCAACCTGAAGAGTAGATGTTTAAAATCTCTAAACCTTTTAAAGGTACTATGCTGCTCATCCTGGGGAGCAGACAAAGTTTCTATGCTCAGGATTTATAGGGCCCTTGTCCGCTCTAAGCTGGATTACGGTTGCATTGTTTATGGCTCTGCGCGAGAATCTACTCTTCAGATGCTGGATCCAATCCACCACCAAGCACTACGTTTGTGCACTGGTGCTTTTCGAACTTCCCCTGTACAAAGTTTGTATGTGGATGCTTATGAGCCTCCACTATCTCTCAGGAGAGAACAGTTGTCTCTATTTTACTATATAAAACAGAAATCTTACTCTAAACCTTCAGTTGATTGTACAGTATTAGATACTCAGCTGAAAAGGTTATTTGAAGCTCGCCCAAGCAGTGTCCCTTCATTCGCCATAAGAATGGAGAATGTGAGCAGCACGATTGACCTGAACACAGGCAACATTTCACAGCTAGAGGTCTGTAGTATATCTCCTTGGTCAACTCCTGTGATAAATGTTGACTTTAGCTTAAAGCAATTTCCAAAGGAATCCACCCCAGATTATGTCTACAGACAGCACTTTGCAGAAATTCAACACCATGACAGGAATTTAATTCCTATTTATACAGATGGATCTAAATCTGATGATTACGTTGGCTCAGCTTTTGTCTGCCAGGATGAAATCGTGGCAGAACAAATTGCATTGAATTCTTCCATCTTTTCTGCAGAGTTGCATGCTATTTATCTAGCTTTAAAGTATATAAATAGGAAAGGTCATCGTTCCTGTGTTATTTACACTGACTCAGTTAGTGCACTTCAGGCTTTGATTTCATGTGAACCTAGTTCTCACTCTATAGTGATTAAAATTCGTAAGCTCTTTTGCCATCTTACTGCGAGTAATTTCTTTGTAAAATTTTGTTGGGTCCCAGGCCATGTAGGTATAAAAGGGAATGAAGAAGCTGACGCAGCTGCAAAGTCAGCTACTCCTTCACAGCATATAATGCGTATTGAAGGAGGCGATTTGAAGCTAGTAGTTAAAAAACGACTAGCAGAGAGATGGCAAAACGTGTGGAATGCACAAGTCCACAATAAACTACATGAGATCAAGCCAAATATAGAAAATTGGACACATAATAAACAGTATGACAGGAGATCTGAAGTAATTCTTACTCGTTTGAGAATTGGGCATACTCGGTTGACTCATCAATACCTTTTGAAAGGTGAAGACCAGCCAGTATGCGAGCATTGCAACTGCTTTCTAAGTGTAAAACACATGCTTTGCAACTGCACAGCTTTTGATCAAAGTCATAGACAGCATTTTGGAAATGCAAGTCTGAGAGAGATTTTGGGCCAGAGGCCAAATCTTGACAAATTATTGAACTTTTTGAAAGTGAATAACATTTATAGACATATTTAATTATTTATCTAGGTTATGTTTATATATATACCTTGTTGATTATTTATTTATTTATTTATTAATTTATGTATATATCTTGTTATTATTTATATGTATATCGTTATATGTTGTTTTGTCATTGATTTTGTTATTTATTAGTTTATTTATTTATATTGAACAATATATATATATATATATTTATATATACCATTTGCTATGGCGCAGCTTGGCCTGTATGGCCCTTGTGCCAATAAACTCTAACAAACCAACCAACCAACCCGGCTAGGTATGTACAGAGGTCGGTGCCGGTAGGTTTTCTTTTAATGCGCTTTTCAATCACTTTCTTGAGGGTCATAATTGCGAGGTTGGTAACGGTTTGGTCTCTGGAAAGAAATAGGTTGACAGCATGACTCACCTGGGCTGCATCCGCGAGGATGCTGCATGATGTAATATTGGCTCCTCCCTGGCTGTTGGTCATGTGGATGACTTCTGGTGACGCACGCTGTGGAAGGTTCATCCACCTTTTGACACAGCGTTTTATGGATTTGTCCAAGTTGTTAAGAAGTTTTTTAGGTACATTACCAAGGGTGAGATGGAATACCAGGCGCGAGGTGAGAAAGGTGTTTATACTGTCAATCTTCTGCCACGGGGCAAGGCAGGAATTGTCAATGGATTTGAGATCTTTGAGGATCCCGTCGACAATTGTGGCGGCAGATTGTCCAACGGTGAATCCCGTAGGGATACCAAGGTGCATGTAATGGTCGTTTTTACTCAGGCGGGGATGCTGGCTTCTTTGATCTTGAAGTCGTAGTTGTCGGCACAGCGGTACTTTCCTGTAATAGATAAGGTTGTGCATTTCGATGGATTAAAAGTCAGGCCACAGTGGTGGGCCCAGGAGGTGAGGAGGTCCATTTGTTGTTGTAGGCCTGCAGCCGTAGAGCTGGTAATCGTGATATCATCAGCATATGCCAATGCCGAGATGCTGTGGCCGTGGAGCTGGTAACCGGAGTCGAGGTTGGACACAAGTCATAGCGCTGGCTCAACGACGAGGTTGAATAAGA